AATCAATCTGCTGGGTGATCGAGAAAAACTGTTCCCTTAGATCAGACCCGCGCTTCATTCAATTTTAAACTTTTTTCCAGCTGTTCGAGGTAAAGTTTGATGAAAATCCATCGAATGAAACTATTTTACAGATGGAGCGCATTCTCTGATCCAAACATATGCTAAATAAATAAATACAACTAACCCGCATTACCTAATGGATTTATCTGTGCTGGCATCTGACAAATTAAAAATTCCGAAATTTTTATTCGTATTTCAGATGAAGCCCGTTTAGAATTTTAAAACAAATTCATTTAATTTGCCTGATGGCTTTATCAGATTTGAACGGAGGAAGTTAAATGACCGAGACTTGAATTACGCAATCAATCTTTTTTGTTTCGTGTCCGTGGCCGCAACGATCGTTCTTCCATGTTGGTTGGTCGTTTTGGAGCCCACCTTCGAAATGAAATTATTTAGTTGAACTCTATCAATTGCAATAAACATTCAGTCGAACGAGATTTTCCGATGTTCACCCGGTATTTGATTTTAGCTCGTCTTTCACTGCCAAGTTCAGATAATGAACTCGGCAAGCTGACAGATTACGTAAACATAGCCGGAACTGTTATTTCCATATAAAATACATTCGGAACGCTCAATCTGTTTATTTTACCAGATCCAGTGTCGATTTAAGACTATTTAGTCGCATCGTACTGACAGTCTGTTTATTTTCACTTGTCTAAGATCGTTAGACTGAGAAACACTTTCGGAAAAAATTTAAGACTCGAATAGTATCGGGTTTTAACAACAGCAACGCGATGGGGATCTGGAAATTACATAAAGCCGCAGTTGATAATATTAACTGTTAAAACGTTCAGTTGATTATCAGTTGCMTCCTCTCATTCTTCCTCAATTTTTGTTTKGTTTYCCACTTGCWTCTTCTTAGGTTTTCCCATCAAATTTGCCGTTGATCGGCTGATTTCTTCTACGAAGTGTTTCATCGGTTATTCCAAAAACASCTTTYCCGATTRRGTTTCAGSAGAAATTTTTRAYATTTACGRGAGYAGGAKCACAAAGSGGAMACGACATTTTTTACACAACKTATATCTCGCAAACGGYRGAAAATAGCAAAATCAACCGAGCTCTTTCGGTAGGGCGTTTCAATACTTATCTTGTTTCCTCAGGCATCAAGCACAATTTTTAGTCTCTAAGGTCATTTTTTGGTTTTTACGCTACAAGTTCAAGGAAAAGAAGGCAGCAGAAAACCACCGTTGTCCTACTCGCTTGATTGGAAAAATTCTCAAAAAATCCCTGATGAAGATGCACATTCGAAACTTTCACAGGTTATGGAACTGACTTTTCTATATAAAATG